AGATGGTGTGTGACAAAGTGGTGTGAAAGATTGTGTGTTAAAGATGGTGTGTCAAAGATGGTGAGTGAAAAATCGTGTGTGACAAAGTGGTGTGTGAAAGATGGTGTGTGACAAAGTGGTGTGAAAGATGGTGTGTCAAAGATGGTGGTTGGCAAAGTGGTGTGTGAAGGGTGGTGCGTGAAAGATGGTGTGTCAAAGATGGTGTGTGACAAAGTGGTGTGTGCAAGATGGTGTGTCAAAGATGGTGAGTGAAAAATCGTGTGTGACAAAGTGGTGTGTGAAAGATGGTGTGTGACAAAGTTGTGTGTGAAAGATGCTGTGTGACAAAGCGGTGTGTAAAAGATGGTCTGTGACGGTGTTTGAAAGATGGTTTGTGACAAAGTGGTGTGTGAAAGATGGTGTGTGACAAAGTGGTGTGAAAGATGGTGTGTGAAAGATGGTGGGTGACAAAGTGGTGTGTGCAAGATGGTGTGTCAAAGATGGCGGGTGACAAACTGGTGTGTGAAGGATAGTGTGTCAAAAAGGGTGTGTCAAAGATGGTGTGTGACAAAGTAGTGTGTGAAAGATGGTGTCTGAAAGATGGTGTGTGACAAAGTGGTGTGCCAAAGACAGTGGGTGACAAAGTTGTGTGTGAATGATGTGTGAAAGATGATGTGTGACAAAGTTGTGTGTGACAAAGTTGCGTGTGACAAATAGGTGCCACACCTGCCACGCAACACACAGGTGGATGTCGCCAAGTGCCCTCCTGCCATGCAAATGGAACGTCAATGTCACCAAGTGCCACGCCTGCCACACGAAACGAACGTGGATGTCACCAAGTGCCACGCCTGCCACGCAAATGGAACGTCAATGTCACCAAGTGCCACGCTTGCTGCGCAACTGGCGCGGCGCCCCGGGCGACTAAAGCGCGCCCAAGCGCGCCACCTAAGTACCACGCCTGCCACGCAAAGTGAAGGTGGATGTCACCAAGTGCCATGCCTGCCACGCAAATGGAACGTCAATGCCACGCTTGCCCTGCCACGCAAAGTGGCGCGGCGCCCCGGGCGACTAAATTACGCCCAAGCGCGCCACCAGAGCCAGCCCAGTGCCATAAGTACCGCGCCTGCCACGCAAAGTGAAGGTGCATGTCACCAAGTGCCACGCCTGCCACGCAAATGGAACGCCAATGTCACCAAGTGCCACGCCTGCCATGCGAAGTGGCGCGACGCCCCGGGCGACTAAAGCGCGCCCAAGCGCGCCACCATACATAAGTACATAAGTATTACGCCTGCCACGCAAAGTGAAGGTGGATGTCACCAAGTGCCACGCTTGCCGTGCAAATGGAACGTCAATTTCAATGTCACCAAATGCCATGCCTGCCACGCAAAGTGGCGCGGCGCCCCGGGCGACTAAATTACGCCCAAGCGCGCCACCAGAGCCAGCCTAGTGCCTTAAGTACCACGTCTGCCAAGCGAAACTAAGGTGGATGTCACCAAGTGCCACGCCTGCCACGCAAATTGAACGTCAATGTCACCAAGTGCCACGCCTGCCAGTGACAAAGTCGTGTGACAAAGTTGTGTGTGAAAGATGGTGTGTGACAAGTTGTGGCTGTGGGTGAAAGATGGTGTGTGACAAAGTTGTGGGTGACAAAGTTGTGTGTCACAGTGTGTCAAAGAGGATGTGTGACAAATTTGTGTGTGAAAGAAGGTGTGTGAAAGATGGTGGGTGACAAAGTTGTGTCACAGTGTGTCCAAGAGGGTGTTTGACAAAGTTGTGTGTGAAAGATGGTGTGTAGCAAAGTTGTGTGAGTGAGATGGAGGCGGAGGCGGCGGAGGAGGAGGCGGAGGAGGAGGCGGGACACAGAATCAAAAACAAGAACCCCACACAAAGATGCGGGGAACTACCAAATAGGGTTGCGATTTTTTCAAAATTTGCCCTGAAGGGCCTGAAGGTTCATTTTTGACGGGCCAAATGCTATGGAACAATTGAGGGAAGAGCAAGGAAAACTATTATTAAGACAAATGCATTTTTTTTGTTAAATTGTTAAGGCAAAGTGTAAGAACAACAGGTAGAACATATCACGCTGAAAGACTACAACAGCAACCTACAACATCACCGGTAATCGCACAACCAATGAACCTATGGATGTAGATGCAGAACTTACACAACAGGCTACACCGACAATACCAAGTTCATCAACAACTCAAGCATCTCAACTCAATGCTGAACTGACACTTAGAGCAAATACTGCAACCATTATAGGACCGGATAACCCCACATGTTACCAACTTCTCTAGACTTAGACTTAGACTGAGCATAGAAAAACAAGAAGGGAAGAGGAAGTATAAGAGTGATGGAGGGGTGATGGTGGGTGAGTTTGTGTGTGTGTGACACATCTGTACAGATGTAAAACTTCTATTACCTTTATATATATATATATATATATATATTTATATCTATATGCGGGGGATCACCGGGGTCCCGGGGGGGTCGGTGATCAACGAAGACACCTCCCCGGGACCCGTGCAAACGTACCCGCGGGACTGTGGTGACGCACCTGGGCGCATATAAGACGCAGCTGGTGGTCACCATATTTTTTAAATATACGTTTTCATCCTTATATATGTAACTAATCTAGTTGCATGTTTCAGGATTCAGTTCCTGCCGGATCACTACAATGATCCATTCTTATCTAGTGTGATTCCTATGGTGACTCCGACAAGGTGCCGTAGGGCCGATTGAGGCAACCCTGTTTGGGGTGAATGTCGACTGAACTGACTTCCGAATTTACATGTTTGAATTAGTATATAATTCGTCTAAGTAATACGAAACAGTTGGCCTTACGGTTTTCAGCCGTTTTGAGATTTCCTGCAGCTCCGGATGTCCCGGGGATCCCAGTGATCTGCACTCTTTCAAGTGAAGCTGCTCCGAACAGTCAGAAACTTCTTTTTACGCTTGCAGCTTTTGTCATGACAATGGCATTACAACATGCACAAGGATCCAGGCAGGCACACGACTTTCAGGTGTGGTCTCTTTCTTCTGATGGTTGTCTGGTGAGGTAAAACATGTTGTGCACCTAATTCGCTGGAACTTGAAAGCCGTCTTATGCCAATTGGGGCAAGAATTGACCACGGTCGCAGACAGGGAATCACGCACGACTCTTAGGAAGTTAGGAACTGAGTCCTGTTTTCCTTTTTTGTGGTTTCACCAACTAGTACCCATTGGTCCCCTATCTCATGCGTTCTTCCCTCCCCAGGTAGGTTGGTTCCGTCGCGTGCTGAGGTGTGTGTAGGTTTTCGCTGTGTCAGGTTGGTTCAGGCGCTTCCGTCCTCCCCCCCCTCCGCTGGTCTTGTTCCGTGTCCGTCGACCCTCCGCTTTTCTTTTCCCTTGCCCTTTCAGGGTTTGCCCGCTCCGGGCCAGGTGTGTCGTGTTGGTGTTCCCTCCTTCTTCTTTTGCGTTCCCCTCTTCGCGTCCTGGTTAAGTAATTCTTCATCTCATCTTCATGGTCATCTCACCTTCATTCCCCTCTCATCCTCATCTTCACCTCATCTTCCGTGGCACCACCCTGCCAAAGGCAGGGTGTGTGTGTGTGTGACACATCTGTATAGATGTAAAACTTCTATTACCTTTATATATATATATATTTATATCTATATGCGGGGGATCACCGGGGTCCCGGGGGGGTCGGTGATCAACGAAGACACCTCCCCGGGACCCGTGCAAACGTACCCGCGGGACTGTGGTGACGCACCTGGGCGCATATAAGACGCAGCTGGTGGTCGCCATAGTCCCATATATATATATATATATATATTATATATATATATATATTTAAATATACGTTTTCATCCTTATATATGTAACTAATTTAGTTGCATGTTTCAGGATTCAGTTCCTGCCGGATCACTACAATGATCCATTCTTATCTAGTGTGTATGTATGTGCATGCACAGGTGAGTGAATGAGAATGTGAGTGAGTGAGTGAGTGAGTGAGTGAGTGAGTGAGTGAGTGAGCGAGTGAGCGAGTGAGCGAGTGAGCGAGTGAGCAAGTGAGCGAGTGAGCGGGTGAGCGGGTGAGTGGGTGAGTGAGTGAGTGAGTGAGGGAGTGAGGGAGTGAGGGAGTGAGGGAGTGAGGGAGTGAGGGAGTGAGTGAGGGCGTGAGTGAGCAAGGGAAGAGGAAGTATGATAGTGATGAAAATGCGATGGTGGGTGAGTTTATGTGTATGTTTGTATGCAAATGATGTATGTGTGTGGTGTGTGTGAGAGTGAGTTTATGTGTGTGTGTTTATGTATGTGTGTGATATGCTGTGTTCGTGTTGTGCGTGCCTGTGGACATAAGGGAGTATGTGGGTGTAGGTGTTCATGCATGCGTGTACATGAGTGCATGGTTGTCGTTCTCGAAGTGGCATAGGCCAGCATCATGACCTCAGGAGACGCAGCATGCAAAAACAAGCAATGATAAACTCACAAGCAATCAATCTGAATGAGCTGAGTTGATAAATCGCCATGCCTTGCTCCTGATCAGCCATGATATGTTTTTTTCTTGTCAGCGAAGTCGACAGGCCGCGTTAAAGTTGCACAAGCTGCAGAAAAAAATAGCAGCCAAACCCGAGAAATTTCTTTGTGAGCAGCCAAGTTGCCCCAAGCACGCGGAGCGAGGAAAATCAGCAAGACGCTTCAAGTCCCGTTTCCGACTGAATGCTGCGGAACAAACAAAAGCTCACATCTCTTCGTTGGATCGGGCGGCTGCGACTTGGCATGTGATTGCGCAAGCATGCGGAGCTAGGAAAATCAGCAAGACTCAAGACGCTTCAAGACCAGTCTCCGACTGACTGCTGCGGAGCAAACATAAGTTCACATCGGTTCGTCCAATTCGGTGGCTGCGACCTCGGATGATGCCGGCAAAGTGTTCATCCAAGCTGTGGAGCTACGTGCCTCTTCCGGCATGCTGTCTCTGACGACATTGATGAGCCTCTTGACAGGCGTCCATTTGGATTCAAAGGTAAGGGGTTCATCTGCTGTCAGCTCTGCCGTGGCGAGTCGGTCAAAGTAGGTCGTGACGGTGTCCTTGGCGGCTGCATCCACGGGGACATGCCAGAGAACACTCCACTCTCCGATGTGCTCTGTCTGGGCCAAAAAACCACTTGATGGATTTCTCCGCTGCGGTCCTGGAGCATCCAGTTGACAACCGAGGCCGGGCCAGCCATGCGAAGTTTCACTTGAAAAGGAGATGTGCCCGTTTTCGACAAAAGGCAATCAAAGGATCGCTTCACTCGCATGGCCGAGGTGGCTGTATTGTCTTGCTGCAGTGCCTCTTCATTTGGCAACTTCACGTTGTTGAAACACACCAAGGCACGCAAAAAGTTTGCATCCACCTTGCCCACGGAGACCAGTCCGAGATGCGCATCCACTGTCACCTTATTCAACGGCGCCACTGGGCAACCATTGTTCAAGCGGCAAAGAGGCAGATTCAACTGGCCGTCCGGTGGAGTCATCAGCACGACAGCCGGCTGAAGCCGCAGGCAAGGACGAATGTGACACTCCAATTCCAAGGATTGCTGGAGATCGTTCCTTGAAGGTGAAACGGCATATCCACTGAGCATTTCGGAACATGTCTCTGAGAGTCGTGCGCAGCTCCTTGGAATCAGCCAGCAGTTCGGGCAAAGTCACTTCCATCAGCACTGCTGCCTTCAGCACTAACTCGTGAAACAGCATCACGGAGCACTGACTGTTGCCATCGGCCAAGGTCAATCTGACGGCCAGGCGCTTTTCCGTGCTTCCGTCAGGATGTTGCGCACAAGGGCTGGCCCGCTTGCATCGCACGCAACAAGTGATCAGCCACTCATCCGTTTCGCTCTTCACTGACGAGATGCCTAAGATCTTCAAGTCGGAGACCACGAAGACTGCCTCAACCTTGCGAAGTTGCCCCGGCACCACAACGCCAATCAAGGCGCTGAGCGTCGAGGGTACTGCATCACAGTTCTCCCAATCTCTGACAGGAATCTCGGTGAGCATGCGGCAATCTCCGGTGTCCCGGAAGTTCCTTTTTCTTCAAGAAGGCAAAGAGGAAATCGACGCTATGTTCGTGGAATGGAATTTGCTACTAAATTGGTATCTCCGAATAGCTGGGGAACAGCATGTACGCAAAAAACACCAAAACATCTGAGAAGGGTGGAAGCTGGGTCATCTGCTACACCGGGAGTTGCACGGACGTGCACCAGAGAGCAACCGATTGAAGATATCGGCAGCACCGGCAGAGTGCATGAGAGTAGCAGATTGTCCATGGCAAAGCTGAAACTGAATGGCGTAAGCAACGTATGTCAAACCTGCCAGGGCGACGTGAACATGCCGCCTGAAGGCCAAAGATGCAAGCTAAAACATGGCAGGGAGACGCAGGCTATCTATCATGTATGTCAAACCTGCCAGGGCGACGTCAACATGCCGCCTGAAGGCCAAAAATGCAAGCTAAAACATGGCAGGGAGACGCAAGCTATCTATCAATGTCAAACATGCCAAGGCGACGTCAACATACCGCCTGAAGGCCAAAAATGCCAGCTAAAACATGGCAGGGAGACGCAAGCTATCTATCTATCTATCTGTCTGTCTGTCTGTCTGTCTGTCTGTTTGTCAATCTATCTATCTATCTATCTATCTATCTATCTATCTATCTATCTGTCGATCTATTTATCTATCTATCTATCTATCTATCTATCTATCTATCTATCTATCTATCTATCTATCTATCTATCTATCTATCTATGTATCCATCTATCTATCTATCTATCTATCTATGTATCCATCTATCTATCTATCTATCTATCTATCTCTCTCTCTCTCTCTCCCTCTCTTTATCCCTTCTCGTGGGACCATAACCCTATCGCTTTTTGTCCCAGAACGAAAAGACGCCAGCCAGTGCTGCGTCGCTCTACTGTGTGCATCTTCTCTGGTAAGTTAGTCGTTGCCAGATTCCGACATCTCTCTCGCAGCGCTTCCACGGAAACGGCCAATGCCTCATCCTGTCAAGCGCAGCACAGATCGTAACCTCAGCATACATGCACCAACGTCTCCAACAAGAAAACACGCACTCTCAGGAGTGTAACATGCATGTTACATCATGCCACACAACCTAAGCAAAAAGCAAGCGTTGTACAACAGTCCCCGTGCCTCTGACCGACAGAGGGAATAGACCATGAAATGAAAAGGGCTGCGGTCAAGATGCAACTGCAGACACGCAATATGAATATGTGTGTGTGTGTCCCTCAGCAGTGTAATATCAAGTGAGTGAGTGAGTGAGTGAGTGAGTGAGCGAGCGAGCGAGCGAGTGAGTGAGTGAGTGAGTGTGAATGAGTGTGAGCACAGTGTCCCACGCCTGCCACGCAAAAGAGGCGGAGACCCAGGAACGCCAAAGGAACCCCAGGGCGTACATCCGACCCCTTGGCAGTGCACATTGTCCCACGCCTGCCACAGAGACCCAGGGACGCCAGAGGGACGCCAGGGCGTACTTGGCAGTGCACATTGTCCCACGCCTGCCACGCAAAAGAGACGGAGACCCAGGGATGCCAGAGGAACCCCAGGGCGTACATCCGACCCCTTGACAGTGCACATTGTCCCACGCCTGCCACGCAAAAGAGGCGGAGACCCAGGGACGCCAGCGGAACCCCAGGGCGTACATCCGACCCCTTGGCACTTGGAGGGCCGGGGGCGGTTATAAGATTGTTATAAGTACATAGCAAGGTTAGAGCACTTTTATAACCTACTGACTCAGTGCTGTAACCTACCTTATAAGTGGTGCTAAGTTACCTTATAAGTGGTGCTAAGCGTTCTGCTGTCTCTAAGTCACTTACGTAAGTAGTTACAGTTTTCGGCTAACTATATATTATGTTCCATACATGATTACGCAACTTATGGCACTTGGCTAACCACTTAGCGTATGTGGGCTATTTGAGATAGGCAGCTTGCGCCCTAAGTGGCCTAAGTCCTGTAAAGGACTTACGCTACTTACATATCTAGGCTAAGTGCACTTACAACAAATTGCGGAAACACAAAAAACCCGTTTCATATTTGGTGGAAACACAAAATTCTGAATGGGGTTTTGGTGGAAACAAAAAATTCCGTTGCAAGTTTTCGTGGAAGCGCAAAAATCCAAATCGCGTGTTGCGGAAACACAAAAGCGCTCTCAGACTTAGGTAAGTGCTGTAAGCCACTTATGCAAGTGCCCTCAGTGCTGTCCCAGTAAGTCCACGAAGTGACATACTGTAAGCGCTGTATCCAAATAGTAAGTGCCGTATGTACGTATATAGTATGTCCCCTATGTGCTTATAACCGCCCCCGAACCTCCAAGCAGTGCACATTGTCCCACGCCTGCCACGCAAAAGAGACGGAGACCCAGGGATGCCAGAGGAACCCCAGGGCGTACATCCGACCCCTTGGCAGTGCACATTGTCCCACGTCTGCCACGCAAAAGAGGCGGAGACCCAGGGACGCCAGCGGAACCCCAGGGCGTACATCCGACCCCTTGGCACTTGGAGGGCCGGGGGCGGTTATAAGATTGTTATAAGTACATAGCAAGGTTAGAGCACTTTTATAACCTACTGACTCAGTGCTGTAACCTACCTTATAAGTGGTGCTAAGTTACCTTATAAGTGGTGCTAAGCGGTCTGCTGTCTCTAAGTCACTTACGTAAGTAGTTACAGTTTTCGGCTAACTATATATTATGTTCCATACATGATTACGCAACTTATGGCACTTGGCTAACCACTTAGCGTATGTGGGCTATTTGAGATAGGCAGCTTGCGCCCTAAGTGGCCTAAGTCCTGTAAAGGACTTACGCTTCTTACGTATCTAGGCTAAGTGCAGTTACAAAAAATTGCGGAAACACAACAAACCCGTTTCATATTTGGTGGAAGCACAAAATTCTGAATGGGGTTTTGGTGGACACACAAAAATCCGTTGCAAGTTTTCGTGGAAGCGCAAAAATCCAAATCGCGTGTTGCGGAAACACAAAAGCGCTCGCAGACTTAGGTAAGTGCTGTAAGCCGTAAGCCACTTATGTAAGTGCGCTAAGTGCTGTCCCAGTAAGTCCACGAAGTGACATACTGTAAGCGCGGTATCCAAATAGTAAATGCCGTATGTACGTATATAGTATGTCCCCTATGTACTTATAACCGCCCCCGAGCCTCCAAGTTGCCCCACGCTTGCCATGCAAAAGAGGCGGAGACCCAGGGACGCCAGCGGAACCCCAGGGCGTACATCCGACCCCTTGGCAGTGCACATTGTCCCACGCCTGCCACGCAAAACTGACGGAGACCCAGGGACGCCAGAGGAACCCCAGGGCGTACATCCGACCCCTTGGCAGTGCACATTGTCCCACGTCTGCCACGCAAAAGAGGCGGAGACCCAGTGCCTACTTGAAAACAAATACATAAAGTGATTTTTTTCCACTTTAGTATTCGCGAATGAATTGCCTAATTGAAAACAAATACATAAAGTGAACTTTTTTGGAACTTTAGTATTCACAAATGAATTGCCTAATTGAAAACGAATACATAAAGTGAACTTTTTTGGAACTTTAGTATTCACAAATGAATTGCCGAATTGAAAACGAATACATAAAGTGAACTTTCTTGGAACTTTAGGATTCACAAATGACTTGCCTAGTTGAAAACGAATACATAAGGTGAACTTTCTTGGAACTTTAGTATTCACAAATGAATTGCCTAATTGAAAACGAATACATAAAGTGAACTTTTTTGGAACTGTAGTATTCACAAATGAATTGCCAAATTGAAAACGAGTACATAAAGTGAACTTTCTTGGATCTTTAGGATTCACAAATGACTTGCCTAGTTGAAAACGAATATATAAGGTGAACTTTCTTGGAACTTTATTATTCACAAATGAATTGCCTAATTGAAAACGAATACATAAATTGAACGTTCTTTCCACTGTAGTATTCACAAATTAATTGCCTAATTGAAAACGAATACACAAAGTGAACGTTCTTTCCACTGTAGTATTCACAAATGAATGGCCTAAATCCGCCATAAATCCGCCATAAATCCTCCATAAATCCTTCATAAATCCATCATAAATCCTCCATAAATCCTCCATTAATCCTCCATTAATCCTCCATTAATCCTCCATAAATCCACCATAAATCCTCCATAAATCCCTCAAAAATCCTCCATAGAGTTTCTATAAACCTTTTTTTCAAGTGGCCAGGCGTATTTTCACAGAGCCGATGAACACCTGTGATCATATATGGACATTCTAAGTTTGCCAGATTTGGTCTCCAAACTACATAAGGGTGCTCAAATATGATAAACTCCTTACGGTGTGTTGGCGGCATTCTAACTCTAGTATGAAAATCTGTGGGGTATAAAGCGAACATATGTTCACAGAGCCCATGAACACATATGATATTTTATGATCATATGTACACATTCTAAGTTTGCCGGATTTGGCCCCAAAACTAGATAACGGTGCTAGAAAATGATAAACTCCGTACGGTGTGCTGCCACATTCTAACTCTAGTATGAAAATCTATGGGTTATAAAACTGTCTTCTGCGGTGAGATTTTGGCCGCGGTGTCGTTCCGCCGTAATGGCCGTATGTAAATTCCAAAACGGAGTTCTAAGTTTCAATCCGTCACTATATGTGCAAAATATATTTGAAAAAGGAATTTGTTTTGTTTTTGTGTTTTGTCTTTGTTTTGGTTTTTGTTTAACTAATCTAATCTAATCTATCTTTCTATGTATCTATCTGTCTATCTGTTTGTTTGTCTATCTGTCTATCTATTTACTTATCTAATATATCCAATCTATCTATTTGTTTGTCTGTCTGTCTATCTATCTATCAATCTATCAATGTATCAACCAATCTCATATATCTACATAAGCTATCTATTTATTTGTTTGTCTACCTGTCTATCAAACTAGTCTAATCTTCTCTGATCTAATCTAATCTAATCTAATCCAACCTATCTAGTCTTTCAAGTCTGTCTATTAATCTATCTAATCTTTCTAATCTACCTAGTTTACCTTTTCTATCTGATCTATCTATATAATATGCCTAATTTATCCAAGTGACCTTACCTATCTATTCTGTCTAAATATATAATCTACATGAAAGCAACGCAGAGAAAACAGTTTCTCTTGAAACAAATTCCATTGCGGTCCTATCCTGTACTCTGATGCAGGTCTCATGGAGTTTCCATGGAGTGTCCATGCAGTTTCCATGCAGGTTTCATGTTGGTTACATGCTGG